TTCCTTCCTTTCTTTCTTTCTCCTTCCTTCCTTCCTTCCTTCCTTCCTTCCTTCCTTCCTTCCTTCCTTCCTTCCTTCCTTCGAGAGCCTCGTGTTCTCATGAAGAGTAATACTAATCCTGAATTGATTCATTCTAGACTACTGTGCATGAGAGTAAAGCCTCCCGAAGACAGACAGTGTAAAGCAGAACTCTAGCCAGGCCCAGTGGTGCATGATTGTGAGTTAGAGACCTGTGTTGTCTACATAGTGAGTGACAGGGCCTAGTGACAAGGCAGCCAGGCAGGGCCGCAGAGCAAGACCCAACCAACAGCCCCCTCTATTCTTTAGTTATTACAGAGCACTGACTGAGATATTTTGGATGTTTGTTTTCAGTGTTTATTTTTACTGTCTACAGTTTTACAGTTTCTGATGTATATTGGTCCTTCCCTCTCCATTATTCTCTCGTTCTTTCCCCATTCCTGCTGAACCCTTTCTTCCCAGCATCCCTCTCTCCCCTTTCTGTGTGTTCCTGTGTGTGGCCTACTGGATTTCATTAGAGCTGTTTGCATGAGCCTTTTTAAACCCATGCATTAGGCGCCCACTGTGTTTGAGTCATACTTGGATGAGAATGTTAGAAATATCATGTTTTTCCTTTTTAAAAAAAATGCTCTTTTGCAACCCTGCCTCATGTGCTCCTGTGCCTGTATTCTGTGTAGTAGATCCTCCATTCTCTCCTAGTGTTTGACTACTTTCCGTGTGCCAGGAGGGCTCTTCTGCGCCGCCCCCCCCCAGCTCATATGTCAGAGTCATCGCTAGTTCCTGGCTCTTACATGGAGAGTGATTTGTGCTGTGCTGGAGGTGATACAAAGCAGGACTGACTGGGTATTCCTCGCTCATATCCTCCTACGCGCTCTGTAAGACAGGCAGTGGTTGTTTTTTGTTGTTTTGTTTTTGTTGTTTTTTGCAGAACTTCTGTGAGCTTTCCTCATTGCTGTTTCTCCATATCTAACGGCTGATCATGTCAAGGGGCGGGAAAGGGTCAGGCTCTCATATAGGTGACTTCACTTTCCATTTTTAATAAGATAAAGACAATACATATGTCTTGTTATAATTACACAGCCTTGTTTATAATTCGTTTTTGGCTTTAATAAATGGAAGACTAGTTTTCTTGTATTGAGATTTGAACAATTTAACTAGAATTTTCCTACAGTGATGAAGGGCTTCAAACAATAGTAAAAGTCAAAGATATTTTTGAGAACTCAGATTCATCCATTATTTGCTTTGTGTTGTGTGTCACTGGTGCAGTTATTTAAAGATAATAAAAATCAATGCTAGCCCTTAAGCTAATCGTTTTTTTTAAAGGTTAAGGATGCCCTGGGAATCTGGATGATCTAGAAGCCCCTCCTTGGGAAGTGAGTGTGCACATAAGATTCTAGGGTGTATTTTCATTATCTGTTTACCTTTGAGACCTCAAGGAGAAATTCTTGTCTTAAGGAATTAGTTATTAATAGTAATGAACATTATTAATATTGGGAAATATTAGAAACAAAAAATTAAACTCACTGGAAAAACAAATAACATATTTCTGTTGTTAGGAGAATATTTTCCAGTGCTGTAATTTGATTTTTCTGGCACCCTAAAGGTAATAAAGCCTCTTTAATTTTATATTTTTGCAGAATCTTAAATTTAAGGTTGAGTTCCACTTTGTAATAACTTGAAAAAGACTAGTTAATGCAGATTTTGAACAATTTCTTTCCTTTAAAGCTTTGTGTCTTGTACAATGTGAGTTTGCCAAATTTTCTTCATCTGCTACAGATTAGGTATGCCATTGCTGCTGCCATGTGGCGGCGCCCCGTGCTTCTTAAACGCACTGACTGGAGCTTTGTCGCCTCACTTGTTCACATGCACGGAGCCTGGTAACAGCCCCATCTGTATTTTGTTAGCTTCATTTTCTTATCTTTAGATTTCATTATAAACTCAACATAGCATTTAAACATAAAGGCCAGTGTTAATGAGTTAACGCTACTACAAAAGTCACTGCTAAAACTTTTCATGATGAAACAGATTTTAACTTTTCTTAAAATGATTTATGTTTTAATTAAATTATGTGTATAAGCGGGTCTGTTTTTACCTGCCATTTTAACTGTATTTGCCAAATTCTAAATATAATTTTGAAAATTGAAGCTTTTATTTATGTGGCAAAAGTAAGCTTCAGGACTGGGCTGTGTATTTTTATTGGCACTTAACTATTAAAATGAGCTCTACAAGAAGTTGTGCTTAAAGAGCCAACGTCATCAACAGCTGCACATAAGAGATACCTTTAGGCATTCGCTTGGTTCAGTTATGGACCGTGGTAAATGTGTATTCTGTTCTTTGAAGCTCATGGAGGGATAGGTATGTTCTGGATCATTCTGTTTAGTTTTACTTGTTGACAGTTTCCTATAGAATATCCATAGTATTCTTTTTAAAGAATAACAGTTTTTCTTCAGAAACGCTCATTGTAAAGAAGTTAAAAAAGAAAAGTTAAGGGAAAGTCAGTGGTCTACCCCTGTAGTAAAGGAGCTGGTTGATTTCCATTCATCTTTACCCTGTATTCAGTGTGCTCTCTTTTCTTAGACATATTTTAATAAGTTACATCACAGTATATTAGCTGATTCAATATTCATTTTTGTAACTTTATATTTTAGACTCCTGATTTTGAAAGCTGTCGAGTGCTTTGTCTCAGTCAAGGACTTGCCATGATACTTTGTCTGCAGCTTCCCACTGCCAGCCTTGTCCAGGTGCCCTCCTGTCGCTCGGTGAAGTCCGTGAATGATGGCAGTGGTGCTTGTCATAGCACTGGGCTTGCAGCAGGCCACGCTCACAGCTGAATTGCAATATTTATTCTCAGGAACATTTAAGGAACCTTAACATTTACTGTAACAAGATGTGTCCAGTTTTGCACACTGGAATATACTTTGATCATTGCCACTTTTCCCAATGTAGTGCTTAGGACCAACCCCAGACTGGAGCCTGCGGGGCAAGCACCCGCCACCAGGCTGCCCCCCAGCCCTGGCCGTTCTTAAACTGCTTGCTGAAGAGCTGTACAGTTACCATGACAGCTTTTGGTCAGAAGCTTTTGTTTTTCTTGGTAGATTAGCTATGACTGTGCTCACTTACTTCTAGATTTAGTATCCAGATCTCTATTAAGGCATTAACATTAAGACTCTGCTCTCTTTGAGAAATGCCCCTGTGTCTGCTTTGTCACTGCAGCACACTTGTTAAAAGACAGATGACCCCATGTTGTCAAGCAGTTTCTCAACCTCAGCATCCTGGAGAGACCTCTCACGGCCATGGCTGCTCCTGTGTCCACTGCAGCTGTGGCTCCGTGAGACACTCACATCTGTGGTGTGGACAGTGATGTGCAGTAGTTCTTTAAAATTAGTATCGCTTCTGTGTTTTGTCATAGAATATATTCAACTTGTATATTTACATGTAATCCCACTGTAATGAGCACTTGAAAATTAAAACTTTGTATATTAGTAATTACTTGTAAAAGGTGAACAGGATTGTCTACACACACACACACACACACACACACACACACACACAGAGAGACACACACATACATTTGAATGAAGTTTTAATTTAACTCATCCAATGCCCTTAAGAAAAACTCAGCTGTGAGGTTATACCTTATAAACTTAAGAATTTGATGGCAGCTCACGTCACACTGGTGATAACATCAAATTATTCACCATGTTTACTCTCAGAACCACAGAATTCAGGTTTTCAGAGTTTGCTTCATATGTCAGATACACAGTTTGTCATAGGTGATGTTTTATTAAGCTAGGCCATTAACAATTTCCACAATTATTTTTAATTAAACATGAATTTTTAAGTTACTGATGCCCCCATGTGGTAAAAAATATGTTTTTCTTCTGTTAGAACTTGGAAATTACTATATTTTCATTTTAACAAAAGTGGATGATAATGTTTTTGAAATGCTGTTGATCAAGGGACATAATTTGAATTTTGTAAAGCTCATTGCCATAAAATTCACAGCCTCACCCTGTGTTGTCTCAGAAGTGCATGTAACCAAGCACACCCATTGAGACAGAGTGTAAGAGAGATGGCGCTGCAGATAGCATAGGGGTTTTCTGATCGTATATGTGATTTCTTATTTGCTTGGTTTCTGTGTCTCACATAGGTGACGTACAGTTCATTGATTATGAGTATTCTGGATACAACTACCTGGCATATGATATTGGAAATCATTTCAATGAATTTGCAGGTAAGAGCCATACTTCACTGACTTCACTGTTGGGGTCCTCTGCCATCAGTGACCTTCTAGCCATGCTTCACTGTTGGGGTCCTCTGCCATCAGTTACCTTCTAGAGTTGTTCCAAGGATCAGTCCCTGGGCAGGAGCAGCATGTGCTGCCCACCATGTGACCCTCCCTGGAGAAGAGAGCTTTTCCCTTATTGCCATCAGAAAGTATACTGCATAGAGGGAGAGGATCACAGTGTGTGGCCCGGGTTTTGATCGCATGTGGGCCTTTGCTCCACATGCCTGTCTTATGTACAGTGTCCTGGTTTCCATCCACAGCACAACAAAACCACCTGGGACTCCAAATGCTTTTTAGTGAGAAAGACCCTCACATTTTTTATGGTTTTGTTTTGGTTGCTACAGGTCTCGTCTGAATGCTGCATGTCTCTCTTCTGTTGCATTGCACATCCAACTACCACCTGACATCCACATGTTTGTTAGTTCAGCTTGTCCCTCACAAACGTTCAAAGACCATTGTGACTTCCTCCTTCCTAGCGAGAGCAGTATGCATGTCATGAAGGGTGAAGGAACTCTTATCCTATAGACTCATTGCTGCCTATGAGCTAACACCAGTTTAAATTTGATTTCTATTAAAAGATTGACTATTTTTTCCTCTTGAATTTCATTTTACAATTACTTCTAAAGCTTCAAATTTTTTTATGTAAGTGGAATATATAATTAACACTGTACTTAGGATTTTCCTAAAAGTAAAAATAAAAAAATACTTGGGGTGTTTTATCCCATGTGTGTACTGTGTGTGTTCTCATATGGTCTCCCATAGGCAGGAGTGAGAGTCTGGATCGAGTAAGAATTCACCCTTTAGGGTTGGTCATCAGGCTGTGGCCGTGACCCACCTTTCTTCTATATTCTTCTTCTTCTTCGCCCCCTTCCTTCCTTTGGAAAAGATAGAGGTAGGAAATGGCAGAGTTAGAGTACATGGGCAGTAGAGATTGGACTTGGTGTTTGTTTTCCTCTGTGGGGTGAGGAGGGCACAGGGGTTGGGATGGGCCTAGGAGAACTGGGAATCGAGAGTGATGGGGCACACTGTATGAAAGAATCAATAAAAATATGTCTTACCTTGAGTATTATCAAAAGCTGTTAGGAAGTGGAGCTTGAAGCTCTGCTCTCCTTGGCTGTTTAACAATACTCAGGGGCACTTACTCTAAGCTCTGTGCCTTACGTAGAGTTAAGCTGGGAATCAGAATGCCGGTTCACTGTGTACTAGAAGGTCTTGCCAGCAGAAGTGAGAGGCTGCATTACTTTTCAGGTAGCAACTCGGTTGCAGTACATAGGCGTGGCGAAGGGTGCTCTCAGTCGTCTGTTTCTCCTCAGGTGTCAGCGAGGTAGACTATAGTCTCTATCCAGATAGAGACCTCCAGGGCCAGTGGCTGCGCTCTTACCTTGAAGCCTACAAGGAGTATAAGGGCTTTGGCAGTGATGTCACTGAAAAGGAAGTAGAGACACTCTTCATTCAAGTCAATCAGTTTGCATTGGTAAGTTTAACTAGAATCAATGAAACATTGAGTGTAGCTAACTAAATGTTCATCAGATAAACCAATTTTTAGTTTTGTGAATTTTGTTTAAAATAATGAAAAATGTGGTTGCTTACAGTTTGCTTCATTAATTACTTTGTTGTTGCTTTACCCACTTCTATATCTTTACCTGAGTTTAGTTTGAAAATATTTAGTTAATCTTCTGAGAATATTGTAGTTGATTACACAGCTTGCAGCCGATGAGTTAAGACATGACTGGATAGTAGATCAGTTCTTTCAGCTACTTTATACATTTTAAATATGATTTTATGAAATTGGCTTTGGGAGCATTGGCCATCTTGTCTTTTCAAGGACACTGCAGTAATGTCCCATAGCTAGACTGTCGATGCTTTTAGGTGCAGGCACTGATTCTCCAGAGACCCTGGCAGCATAGCGCAAGTGAGTGGCTGTGTAGGGTGATAACTGCTGTCTGATGTCGTGTGTTGAGCTGCTGGGCACAACTCTCACTTCCAGAAAGAGAAGTGGACTTCACAGACTTCGTGCAGTGCTCACATGCTTTAGATCCTAGGATTGTGTTTGAACACAGTTCATTAATCAGATCCTACGTACTTACTGCTACTCTAGTTGGGAATATTAGAAGTAACATTCTTCAAAATGCTTATAATTTAGAATGACGGGGTGCAGGTTTATTTTTTAATGTAAAACTTAATACCTATCTTTAACATTTTTAGCGAAGTATAATTAGGAATACTCGTAAATGTGATTTAAGGGGAAAATCATCACGGTGGTGCATGCCTACAGTGCCAGCTCTTGGGCAGCAGCCGCAGCAGTGGCTAGAGCTTAGCGCCAGCCTGGCCACACAGCAGGAGATCTTATTTCAAAAGAACTAAACCAAGTTCACATTAAAAACAAGCGTAGTGTACCTTAAATATATTTATGTGGACCCATGTATCATCTAGCCTTGTCCAGGACTCGGAAGAGTGGTTATAGTTGTAGTTGGCCATTCTGGCTCTAGCTGAGAGTCACAAATATTACTTTAACAAGAACAGTAGAGATGGCTCAGCAAACATGACGACCTGTGTTTCGATCCCCTACATCCATGTAAAAGTGGACATGACACACGCCTGTAGTTCCAGTGCTCGGGAGCTGGGTAGACAGATGAGTCTTTGTGGCCTTCTGACCAGCCAAACAATTCAGTTGATTAGCTCCTGTCTCAAGAAATGGCTCAGCATGTAAAGTGCTAGCTGTGTGAACATTAGGCCCAGAGTTTGGATCTACAGCCCCAGTGTAAAGAGCTGGGTAGGGATGGCAGCCCTCCTCTAAGTTCAGTGCAGAGAGGCCCAGAGCAGTCTGACCACCTAGAGAGACCCTGTCTTACTGTGCAAGGTGGAAAGGGAGAATGTTTCCATGTGCACACAAGTGTGTACTGCCCCACATCATTTATGCACTCTGTGTGTGTGTGTGTGTGTGTGTGTGTGTGTGTGTGTGTGTACACGTACACCACATGGTGCATGTGTGGAATTCAGAGAATAACTTCTCACTACTGCGTGAGGATCAGGCATTGAGCCTGTCCTTAGGCTTCATGGCAAAACCTTTATTCACTGAGCCATCTTGCTGGCTGAAGAACTGTTTTATCAATATCAGTCCTTTAGCATTTCTGGTATGGTCACTATATCTTGAGGTCTTATACCAACTTTTAGTTGTTCATAAATGAAACTAGGTAGTTGTTGAATTTCTCTCGTCTTATCACAAGACTTCTTATGTGACTTCTGTCCATTTCATTTCTGGAAGTGTCTTTGCATTGGGGCTTGTTTTCCGTCTGCAGAATACAAAGAGTGTAGTAGAATTTTTACACAGGTGTGCACAGGCATGTGCAGGTGTGTGCTCCACTTCCCTTTAAGACTCTCTGCTACTGCTGTTTAACTAGTTGCTCTGCTTACAGCAGCTCTGATTTCCTCTTGTGGAGCACTGAGGTGATGAGTACCTCCCCCATTCTTTTCACATCTACCATGCCCACCGGAAGAGGACATCAGAACACCTGGAACTATGTAGATAAAGATGTAAACTACCATGCGGGTGCTTGGAACCGACCTTGTCCTTTGCAAGAGCAATAAATAGTTTTTTGTTTCTTTTTTTAAGTTTGTTTTTTGTTTTGTTTTTCTAGGCAGAGTTTCTTTGTAGCTCTGGCTGTCCTAGGATTCGCTCTGTAGACCAGGCTGGCCTTGAACTCACAGAGATCTACCCGGCCATAAGAAATTTTCTCAACACCAAACCATTTTCCCAGCCCCAATTAAGAAGATGTTATTATTGTGTAGGGTTCTATGAGGCCATCCATGTGTGTATACAGTGTCCCTGGAGCATGTTCCACCCCATGGTCATCCCTCTTTGTCCACCACCCTCCCATCAGTCCCTTTGTTCTATAACAGTGTTACTCTTTATCCATATATACCTAGAAGAAATCTGGGACTCGACAAATGAGAGAAGCACAGTATTTTTCTTTGTGAGATTGGTTTAATGCAGTTAACGTGATGATCTTTACTGAATCAGTCCTCCTATAGCGGACTGTAGAGATCCTGTTGATAGCTTATTTCTCTGTTCCTCTTGTTGGACAGCTAGGTTGATTCATGGTTTGACTGCCGTGAGTAGTGCAGCAATAAGCAGTAAACGTCCTTGTATGGAACATGGTGTATTATGGCAAATACTGAAGTAGTATGTGTAGCTGGGTCATATAGTGGGTCTGTTTATAACTTTCCAAGAGTCTCCATGTTGATTTCCATACTGTCTGGGTAATTTGCAGTCCAGTTAGCAATGCAGAAGGGATTTAATCCGTCTGCATGCTCTCAGCATTTACTGACATTTGTTTTTTGATAATTGCATTCTGACACTGGTGAGAATCTCTGTTGTGTTTATTTGCATTTCTCTATGGCTGTTGATCTTGACAGGCACTGAAATATGAGGAGAGACCTCCATTGACATTACACCATGCCTTGCTAACACCACACACTAAAACAATTGTTACATGCATTTATTTACTTTGTGTGGGTGTGGAGTCAGAGGATGAACTACTAGAATTATTTCTCTTATGCCATGTGGGTTCTGTAGGTTGGAAGATTGTCAGACTTGATTGGTAGAAGGCACTTCATTTACCCTCTGATCAATCTCACTGGCACTTTTGTTGCTTTTGCCTTAAAGGATATACTAGAAAAAAAATTAAAAAAAAAATCCTTGTTTTTAACATTAATGTTTTTTAGAGCATCTCTAGTACAAGTAGAGTATTTCTGGGGAAGTGGAATTCTGATTTTGTTACTAGCATTAAAAAAAAGTCATGGATATGAATGTTTTGCCTGAATGTATGTTTGCATACCACTTGTATGCCTGGTGCCCATAGAGGCAGGTGGAAGCCATCAGATCCCCAGGGACTAGAGTTACAGATGGCTGTAAGCTGCTGTACGGTGCCATGTAGGTACTGGGAATCTGAGTCCTCTGGAAGAACAGCCCCTATGCTACCAGAATTTTTTTTAAAAAGTACTTTAAAACTTTGATTTATCATTAGTATGTCGTGTACACATAACATGCATATGCGTATCAGAAGTCAGCACAGCTTTTGAGAGTAGGTTCTTCCTTCCAGTTCCTGGAGTCAAACTCAGAGCTCTTTTCCTTGTTGAACTATCTTGCTGTAGACCTGTGTTAACTGAATTTTAAAATAACATGTCTAAGTAAAAATTAATTGTGTACCAGTGAAATGGCCTAATGGCCAGAGTAAAATACTGGAAGTTTGTATGGTGGAAGGAGAAAATGAGTCCTCTTTCTTCCACATATGCTTACAGACAGAAACACACACACACACACACACACACACACACACACACACACACACACA